CAAGTCGCGAATGGCCACCGTGCAGCTTAAGGACCTGCAGGCTCGGGGCTACAGGGCTTTGGTTAGGGTTTAGGGTTTAGGGTTTAGGGTTTTGGGTTTAGGGTTTAGGGTTTGGGGTTTAGGGTTTTGAGTTCAGGGCTACAGGGCTTTAGGTTAAAGGATCGGTGTTTCAAGTATTTGGAGTTGATGCGCTGTTTTGCATTTGGGTGTTTCAGTGAGTGGGAACGGGGACGATGAGGAAGCCTAAACCCCTAAACCCTAAACCCTAAACCCTAAACCCTAAACCCTAAACCCTCAAAACCCTAAACCCTAAACCCGACAAGGAGGAGCAGGTGGAGGAGCTCCCACCAACCCACGGTGCCTTGTTTGCGAAAGTGACGTCTGATGACTGGGGCATCGCGATCTCCTGAGATGCCATTTAGGAACATGCTGCCTGGACAAAGCTTTTCGTAAAAGGCCACTTTAAATCAAAAATTCCACCGGCGTGTTGGCTCAAACCCCAAACCCTAAACCCTAAACCCTAAACCGCAGAAGAACCAATGATAAAACTAAGACAGCCAACTCGAGAGTCTAGAAAAACCCTCTAAACCCTAGAGGCCCTAGAGGTGCAGCCGAGCAAAGGGGGTTGAAGAGACGAGAGGGCTTGGGCTTCTGGTTTAGGGTTTAGGGTTTAGGGTTTAGGGTTTAGGGTCCAGGGTTTAGGGTTTTCTGGCTGTTGGAGCTTCAAAGTTTAGGGTTGAGGGTTTGCTGTGGTTCGGGCTTGCTGCTGTAAGCTCTAAAGGGTACTCCTTTGGGTTCCCTTCCAGGGTTCCGTAAGAAAAAGAGGGCTATAGGACTATAAGGGTGCATCTCAAACCCTAAACCCTAAACCCTAAACCTCTAAACCTCAAACCCTAAACCGTGGCTTTTTGGGCGGGTGTTGAGCAACGCGACGACTGGGAGCTAGGGCTTCCTTCTTGGGTTCCCTACGGTTTAGGGTTTAGGGTTTAGGGCACTCCGAAGGGATCCTTTCAGACTTGTGTAAATGGGACTAGTGTACGGGCCTAAATAATTACCTGCACTATTTTNNTGGGGGTTCCGTATTATAGGTATAGTCTAATGAGCCCCAAAACCCTATTCTAATTATTCAGGCCCCTATATTGTAGGACCATAAGGGTACATCTGAAGCTCTTCGTCCAGCATGTCCAGGATCCCACTGCGCCCCTCCAAGAGCAAGACGCAGTCAGAATTGTCGACATACCTTGCGGGTTTAGGGTTTAAGGTTTAGGGTTTAGGGTTTAGGGTTTGCGAGCTGCGGGGCTTTGGGATGTTGCATCAATTCTGTCGTGACCGAAGGAACGCAGCGAACACTGTGAAAGCTGTGGGACTGTTTGACTGACTGCGAATCACAACCGACCCCTGCTGCTGTGGCTGCCCAGTGTTCCTAAGCATAACGATCATCATCACCCTAAACGCCGGTACGATAATGATACGAACAAGACAAAATGACACTCTTGTTGATAGCGTGGCGGCTTGATGTTGCTGGTGCCATTTTGTTTCGGTGGTCTTTCTGGTTGCCACAGTGGCAAGCAAGGGTAAACCGTGCATCACAATGACTGTCAAACAATCTCTGCTGCTGCTGCTGCTACCGCTACGAGGACTAATACAACTATAGCTGCTACTGGTACTACTATTGCTACAACTACTGCTACTGCTACTGCGACTGCTACTGCTACTGCTACTGCTTTTGCTGCTGCTGCCGCGACTACAACAACAACAACAACTACTACTACTACTACTACTACTACTACTACCACAAAGCCTACTACTTCCGCTGTTCCTACTACCATGTCGACGACTACTACGACGACGAACCCTATGACTACGTCTACCATTACTACTCCCGTGAAGGCTGTGGACAAGTCCCACCTGGGCTGGCATTGCAGACGAGTATTGCTGGTACTCGTGCGGAGACTGACGTGTTTGGCTGTGCACTTACTGTGAATGCAGCTGTTTTACGGGGATACGACACCGAAAAATCTTTTTTCGATTTGTGATAACTCTATTTACGGATGGACTAGTTGTCCTTTTTTCATATTTGCTACCGTAATCGAATTTCTGAATGACAACGTGTCGACGCGTAGCAATCAGAGGGCAAGCTAGGGCATTGACGCGTTCCGCACTCTTTGCATTTTGGCTTGGGCTTCCTGTACTAAACCTTACACCCTGGGTTTTAGAATTCCGCAGCCGAGCCGAAGCACGAGATCGTTGCTCCCAAGTCCACACCCTCCGCTGCGCAGTCTTCAATCTCTGACTTGAAGACCGCCTTCGCAAGAAAGCACCAGACGAAATTGAGCCTCTGAACTTTGGTGGAAAACAAGCACTCTTGCACTCTTCAGAACCAAACTATCTCACTCACTCACTCACTCCGTGCAGTCCTCAACTGCCCAATCAACCAGATGGTGAATGCATGCTGCACTTACCTACATACCTACATACCTGCCTGCCTAGCTGCCTTCCTACCTACCTCCCTACCTACCTACCAGCATTCATTCATACATTCCTACAGACCCATACATAGATACATACTTACATACATACATACTTACATACATACTTACATACATACATACATACATACATACATACATACGCACATACAGCCTAAGTACATACATACAGACAGTCAGCGTCAACATCAACGGCGCTGGCGGCAGTGTAAGTGTGCGTAAGCCCACGCAGACATATCTGTATATGTATATGTATATGCTTACGGATATATATATATATATACATTATATCTATATATCTATATATTAAATATTAAGTATATATATATAATATATCAGCAAGACATTGCCAGCCTCGCCTCGTTGAACTGTAGTTGAAGCTGCTCGTTACCTGAGCGATTCGAGAACACATTCCAGCTCCTCCGCCTCGGCACCTTGCCTTGAAACATCGCACTTTTTAGGGGGTAGGGGTTTAGGGTTTAGGGTTTAGGGTTTAGGGGTTTAGGATTTAGGGTTTAGGGTTTAGGGAGTATCTACCGATCCATCTGCCTATGTCTGTATGCCTATCTGCCCGTGTATCTATTTGTCTGTCAGTCTGTCTGGCTGTCTGTCTGTCTGTCTAACGTTCTATCTATCTATCTATCTACCTATCCAGCTACCTATCTGTTCTATTCTATCCTTGTCTAGCCTGTTCTATCCATCCGTCCATCCATCCATCTATTTATCTATCTATCTACCTATGTGTTTGTCTGTTTTGTTGTCGTGTCTGCTGTTGTTCACACGTACTCACCTATTGATTTATGTCCTTACGTTTTCAAACTCTGCACTTATAGTTGCAGGATGCTTCTATGTATTTAATGAATCGTTCGTTCTGCGGCTCCGGGCAGTTGCACAGACGTAGAATGGCGCAGTCGCTCTTGGTCGCATCCTCTTCTTACGACGAGCACGGGTCAATCTGCAAGAGAATTGGAAAATATGAAATACTGCTTCTAAAGGCTTCTCAAAAAACCTACTGGCAACATTGGAAGCGTGAGCTTGGAACTGCATGGATCAGGGACTTGCTGTCCACAAGCACCTGGTCGAATCCTCACAGTCATTTGCTGTCGCAAGCAAGCGAACCCAGAGACTTCAAAACAAGCCGCCGGGATTAGATGCTTGCGTCTTGTCGCCGGGCCCATGTTGTGGGCCGTCCGCACTTCTTGCAACCAAACCCGCTGATACCAGCATGCACTAGCATGAGCATGGAACTGCGTGGATTAGGGACTTGCTGTCCACAAGCACCTGGTCGAATCCTCACAGTCATTTGCTGTCGCAAGCAAGCGAACCCAGAGACTTCAAAACAAGCCGCCGGGATTAGATGCTTGCGTCTTGTCGCCAGGCCCATGTTGTGGGCCGTCCGCACTTCTTGCAACCAAACCCGCTGATACCAGCAGCATGCACTAGCATGAGCATGGAACTGCGTGGATTAGGGACTTGCTGTCCACAAGCACCTGGTCGAATCCTCACAGTCGTTTGCTGTCGCAAGCAAGCGAACCCAGAGACTTCAACACAAGTCGCCGGGATTAGATGCTTGCATCTTGTCGCCAGGCCCATGTTGCGGGCCGTCCGCACTTCTTGCAACCAAACCCGCTGATACCAGAAGCATGTACTAGCATGAGCATGGAACTGCGTGGATTAGGGACTTGCTGTCCACAAGCACCTGGTCGAATCCTCACAGTCATTTGCTGTCGCAAGCAAGCGAACCCAGAGACTTCAAAACAAGCCGCCGGGATTAGATGCTTGCGTCTTGTCGCCTGATACCAGAAGCATGTACTAGCATGAGCATGGAACTGCGTGGATTAGGGACTTGCTGTCCACAAGCACCTGGTCGAAACCTCACAGTCGTTTGCTGTCGCAAGCAAGCGAACCCAGAGACTTCAAAACAAGCCGCCGGGATTAGATGCTTGCATCATGACGCCCGGCCCATGCGTGGGCCGTCCGCACGTCTTGGAACCAACAGCTACAGCCCGCTGATACCAGCCTTATGTTCTAGCATGGGCATCCCCGCTAAGAAAGTCCGTAATGCACAACCATCAAGCAGCGAGATTGCCAAGCACGTTGAGGGCTTAGGGTTTGGGTCTTAAGGCTTAGCATTTAAGGTTTGGGGTTTAGTAATTGTTTTGGTAATTCCTGCAAGCCGTGCCAGGCGCCGGATAAACGTGTGACCACGACGGCGACAAACACCGCCACGAAGCAGCAGCAGCAGCAGCAGCAGCAGCAGCAGCCGCAGCGGCCGTGATCGCAACAAGAAGATCAAGATCAGCAAACAACAACGGCTGAAATTCAACCAGTAATGAACATGCAGCACTGCATCGTGAAACGCTGAATGCGATGACTTCGGGGAAGAAGGCAGCAATCATCAGCCCACGTTCCTAATTATTATAGAACCCTTCTGATACTCACCCCTTTAGATTCCCTTTGAAAGGACCCCCTCAAGAAGCCCTATAACATTCATTTCTGCTTCCCAAGTGCTAAGATTGATCAGCAACTGCTCCAGCGAGTTTGTTGCAAAGCTCTCGAAGCCGCTGATGTCGAGGATGCCTCAAGGTTTAGGAGGTAGGGTTTAGGGTTTAGGGCTGACGGCGTCTAATTGAAGACTGCTTGCTTGGGAGGTTTGAGGTTTATTATGCGTTTAGGGTTTAGGCTTTTGTACATCTAGGATGTTTATAGCAACATGCGAGAAGACGATCACGGAATACTGAGGTCAAAAGGTCTGGTTTGGGGAAAGGCCAAGGAGTGATCCTGTATTATGTAACTCAGCAGAGGTCTCTCTCCTGCTGTGTAACCGAAGCCGCGATGGCAGTCCCTGCGACATCATGAACCAAAGCATTCCGCAATATCAGGACTTAAAAGTTGAAATAAAATTTTGGTGTATATTATAGTATACCTTTAATGTGTGTGGAACCCCAACGACGCATGTTGGTACAAGTAATTGTTTAGGCCCCTACATTGCCTACATTATGTCTGGCGGTCTTTGGTCCACGTTCCACGAGTCTCAGGCTCCAGCCTAATCCCTAAACCTTAAACCCCAAACCCTAAACCCAAAACCCTAAACCCAAAAACCCTCAACCCCAAACCCTAAATCCTAAACTGCCTACAGCGCCGCTGACCAGTTACATGGGCGCTCGAGGCTCCGACCGACGCCCCCGGCCGAGCGTCCCGTCAGAACGGTGAGGGAGGCTTTACCCTCCCAGTATACAAGGACTGTAGTGACGAGGCCCGCTAATGACCTCTGTGCCATCATGCTAAACCCTTAGCCCTAAACCCTAAACCCTAAACGCCAAGTCCCTCTCCGGTTGGCGGCGATCTGGTCTGACCTCGGGGGTGCCCTCCAGGGAGGTCTGGGGCACCGAGGCTGGCAGACCCGGGCGGACTTGCCCAATTTCCAAACAAATGACAAAAAAAATCCCAAAATGTTTTTGGGCCAGCCAAGAAAAATTGCCGAAAATTGCTGTACCAACCCGGCTCCTGCTGCCGATTACACTTCGAGCCCTCTCGATAAACAAGTTGTTTGTTGGAAGCCCTTTGCTTCTCGACGAGCGGCCGGCCGCGAGGACCCACAACCCAACATCAATCTCTTTCAGTCGTGGTTTAGGGTTTTAGGGTGTGCGGTTTAGGGTTTAGGGTTTAGGGCTTTAGGGTTTTTAGGGTTTGCTCAATGAAACGCCAAGAAAAGCCCCCCTTGAGGGTTGCTTTGGGGGATGAACACTAAACCCTAATTGAAAAGAGTTAGGGTGGTTGGGGCGGGACTACATGCTGACGCAAGCGCGCGATAAGTGGGTGCGCCCCCATTTCCAAAGAAGCGCACCACACTGTATACACACCCTAAACCCTACATGCTAAACCCTAAAATCTAAACCCTAAACCCTAAACCCTACACCCTAAACCCTAGAATCTAAACCCTAAGCCCTCAAACCCTAAACCCTAAAACCCTAAAACCCTAAAATCTAGAACCCGAGCAAAAGCCCTGAAGGAGCTGCAGCCTGGCCTATGAGGCGATCGCGCCCATCGGGATGGTCGCCTGGTCCTTCCGGGCAAGCGAAGTTGGGGTTTAGGGTTTAGGGTTTAGAGGTTTAGGTTTAGAGTTTAGGGTTTAGGGTTTAGGGTTTAGAGGTTTAGGTTTAGGTTTAGAGTTTAGGGTTTAGGGTTTAGGGGTTTAGAGTTTAGGGTTTAGGGTTTAGGGTTTAGAGTTTAGCGGTTAGAGTTTAGGGTTTAGGGTTTAGGCTTTGGGGGTTTAGGGTTTAGGGTTTAAAGTTTAGGGTTTAGGGTCTGGGGGTCTCGGGTTTAGGGTTTAGGGCTTAGAGTTTCAGCGCTAGTAGGGTTGTATCTTAAACCCTGAACCCTGGGTGTGTTCTCTAAGGCTTGGAGGAGGTCCGAAACTCTCCGAAACTCCAAACCCTAAACCCTAAACCCTAAACCCGAAGCCGTTCGGGTGCCCCTTCAAAGTCTGCTGAAATTTGCCTAGGACAAACAAACCTCATAAACCCCTACTTGGAGACACTCTAGGGGTACCCGATGAAGACCAGAATATCCCCCTACTGTAGCCTGATTTAAGGCTTTTGGCCGCTTGTTCAGCATCTTGGTAATCTCAAACATTCGGGCATCTCACGGGCGGCAGTTCACCCAAGATCCTAATAAGGTTTAGGGCTTCAGGTTTTGGGTTTAGGGTTTCAGGGCCCTAAACCCTAAACCCTAAACCGTTGCGAGTGGGTTTCAGGTTTTGGCCCCAGGGCTTGGGTAAAGGATGTAGGGTTCAGCGTTCCCAAGAGTTACCTCAACCGCATGCCGCTGGCAGTGGACAGCAGTGCCTGAAATAGGGGCCCTAATAATCAGAATAGGGTTTTGGGGCCCATTACACTATAAGTTCTAATAAGGAACCCCCAAAATAATAGTGGTAATTATATAGGCTTCTATATGCCTTAAACCCCAGAAAAGATGTCTACGCTCGAGGCTCTGCTGGCAGACAGGTGTTGTTATGGAATCCTTAAGGGAGGGGGTTCTAAGGGGGGTATATAACCCAGTAATCCCCAATTCTCCCTAGTACTCCCTTAGGTTCCCCAAAGCTCCCTAAGCATCCCTAGGACCCTCCCCCCTTGAGCCACCCTCCCTTAAGGAAGTGTTGGGGTTAGGACACCCTACATCAGGTATCGCCACATCCCAGAGCCGAAACCATGGATTGAGGGTTGAGGGTTTAGGGTTTAGGGTTTAGGGTTTAGGGTTTAGGCTTGAGGCTTTATTACCTTTCGGGCATTAGGAGAACAATGCTCCAAGTTGCTGCCGCTACGGTGTAGCCGCAATCCTTGAAACGCTGGTAGTTCAGACGAGAACTACGAATATAAGAGTCCATGTAACTGGAATGGGACTTTGGGGTATGTTGTACGTACTGAAAGTGACTACTATTAACTTAGAACTTATTCAGACCCCTGTACTACCTCGTCATACCGATTTCGAGATACCCCTATATCACTCGAAATCCGTTCAACAATGCTGTGAGAGCCTCTGCACTGCACACTTCAAGGATCATGGCACCTAGTAACTTGGGTTTTACATCAGCTAATTATACTTCTAATTATGTATACCTAAACCCCCAAAAGTAGCTACAATAATGGCCCGAAGCCTAAAAAAGGCCAATTGTTTACATGCTTTTTGGGGTCCAGGTAATCTCAGTTAAGGTACCCTAAACCCTAAACCCTAAACCCTAAACCCTAAACCCTAAACCCTAAACCTTCCTTGCTGGGGTCCCCTGAGGCTCGAAGTCCCCTAAATCCCTAAACCCCTAAATCCCTAAACCCCAAACCCTAAACCCTAAACCCTGAACACTAAACCCTAAACCTAAGCCCTGAACCCGCCCTAAACCCTGAACCCTAAACCCTCAACCCTAAACCCTAAACCCTCAACCCTGAACCCTAACTAGCAACCCCAAGGCTGCCTGCGCCGTTTGGCTGCGGAGTGGGCGATTCCTCCTTTCCAAGGCGAATTCTGCTTCGGGGGTTTCACAGATGGCTGCAGCTTCATGATTTCATGCTGCGGGTTTAGCCTAGGTTTAGGGTTTAGGGTTTAGGGTTCGGGGCTTAGGGTCTAGGGAGTTTAGTGACTAAACTCCCTAAACCCTAAACCCTGAACCCTAAACCCTAAACCCTAAACCCTAAACTACGCTAAGTTTAGTGGCTAGGGCAACGGGGTTACGGTTCGGGGATGAAGGTCTGATCTACAGGTCAGGAGCATGGCAAAAGTCCGGCGGAGTAGTTGGACTCCTGCGGCACACGAAATTTAGGGTTTAGGGTTTAGGGTTTAGGATTTAGGATTTAGGGTTTAAGGTTTAGGGTTTAGGGTTTAGTAAGGGTTTAGGGTTTAGGGTGAATATAAGTAAAACTTCCCGGGCTTTTGAGGGCTCTTCTCCGTCTGCACGTGGGCACGGCACGACGAAGTGAAACTTCTATACTGAGAAGCCGAGCATGACAAAGAGCACACTGACCTTCCACGAGGATCTTGGAGCACATGCGGGGCTTCCCCCTGTTTTCTTCAATCATGGACCATTTTGGGTTTAGGGTTTAGGGTTTAGGGCTTAGGGTTTAAGGATCATGGACCATTTTGGGTCCTCCTTATAGCATAATTTAGCAAGCCTCTATATGGCGGCTGATTATCGCCACCGAAGTGGATAGGTTGATGCAGAGGCCGTTGTGATGTGCTGGTTTCGGGTTTAGGGTTTAGGGTTTAGGGTTTAGTGACACTGAGATGACTGCAAAGAACTGCGGCTCTTACAAGGTGATGAATCCTCACGGCTTGTCCCTAAACCTTAAGCCCTAAACCCTAAACTTTAAACCCTAAACCTTAAACCGTTAAGACGAAACCCTAAACCGTAAGATCCCTAAACCCTAAACCCACAGCCTCTGTAGCCACTAAACCCGAAAGTTCTCCGGAGAGGTCCTCCCCGTCGGGCATGTGCAGCCGCTCGTTCATGTGTTCGATGAGCCAGTCGAAGAGTCCTCTGCGACTGTGATGGCGGTTTAGGGTTTAGGGATTAGGGATGAACCCTAAATCCTAAACTAAACCCTATACTAAACCCCTAGACCCTAAACCCTCAACCCCTAAACCCTAAACCCCTGAACCCGTGAACCCTAAACCCTAAACCCTTGAAATCCTAAACCCATGAATCCTAGCGCCAAAAGACGAACCCTCTGGGCTCCCCCGGCCCAGGGAGAAGAACTAAGGCGGAAGGCTCCGCATGATGCTCCTGAGGGCCCAAGAAACAATCTAAGGAGGCCCAAAGTTTGGGGTTTAGGGTTGAGGGCCTAAGCCCTACACCCTAAACCCTGAACCTTAGGAGGGTTCCCAACCCTAAGGCTCTATAAGGACTCCGATTTCAAGGCTTTTGGGCCCTAAGACCATTCTAAAGAAGGCTTTTGGGCTATGTGGAGCCTTAGGGCAACTGACAAGCCTAAACCCTAAACCCTAAACCTTAGGAGGGACAGCCCCGTAAGCCCCGGTAGAAGCCCCAAAGAATAGCAAGACTGAAGAATCCTGAAATCAAGGGACCATCATGTGACAGCGGGCTCCGCTGGAATAGAAATTGCAAACAGTATCTTAGAGTCCCAGTAGGCTTGCAAAAATATTCCCCCAAACCCCGTTCTAACTACTGAGGCCCCTGGAGTATAGAACCCTCGTGTCCGTTTTTGGAGCTCTAATCTACCGAGCCAGGCCGCTTGAGTCGAATGGCCCCAAGAGCCCACCCTAAACCCTAATCCCTAAACTGAAACCCTTGAACCCTCAACCCTAAACCCTAATCCCTGATCTAGCCTAAACCCTAAAGTAGCTTAAAGCCTTTAACCCTCAACTCGAAACCCTCAACCCCTCTGAGGTCCCGATGAGATCCAAGGCTTTGCAGGGACTTGGGCTGCAGGGCCGTGACGATGCGTTCTGGCCATCGGGAGAAGGATGAGGTGTGCTTTAAGGGTTGGAGGGTTCCTGCAAGGGTTCCTTAAGGGTTCTATATAAGGTTGAGGGTATAAGGATCCATGTACTGACATAGTATATACCCTAAACCCTATACATTGGCCTTAAAGTAGTCCCTGTATAGGTACTCCTAGGGGAAGAAGGATGAGGGCTGCTGGAAGGGTTTTAGTTTCAAGGGTTTGCGTTACACGTGGCGCAGACAGCGGCCATGTGATGGGTTTCGCCGCATCGCGGGCTTAGCCCTGCAAGGGTTCCCTTGAAGGGTTCTGTAACGGCTGTAATATAGGGGCCTTACTAATTAGAATAGGGTTTTGGGGCCCATTATACTATATAATAAGGAACCTTTAAGATAGTATAGGTAATTAATTAGGCCCCTACATTACGGTCTTGGGGCTTCCAGGGGGTTTAGAGTTTAGGGTTTAGGATACTGGGCTGAGGGTTTGGGGTTCAGGCGTTTGGTTTTCGGGTGTTGCAACGCTACAGTCGAGAATGCACAGAGCCCATCTAGTAGTAGTTTTGTCGCGGGGTTTGCAGTCATTTCTGCCCTTGTCTGCGGGGTGGGGGCGGCGGGGGGGCGGGCGGCCGGGTTCTGAGTTGGTGGCTTCTGTAATCGAAGAGTGGTCATTGCAGCCGAATGGCCAAGTGAGCGGCTGAGCCCCGACTTGAAGGCTCGGCAGACTTCGTGGTAGTAGGTTAGCAGTAGAGTGTCAAGTGCCCGCCCTTGTGTGGGTTCATGGGTTAGGGGCTATGGGGGATAGCTGACTTCTAACCCTACCTCGAACTTTAGTAGCAAAGCCCCCACAAAGCTAGGCAAAACGTAGATGTAAGATAGACTGACTCTGTCAGCATCTGAACGAATCACAGTACCTGAACTAATCAATAGAACAAGGCCTGCTGTAGTACATGATGAAGGTACCGGCTGCAGTATATTGCTACGTCAAACGGACATTGTTACGAATTGCTCAGACCTCGACATTGTGTGATGGCATGTCAAGCATAGTTCTGGGGCTGCAAATCGCAGGACTCATGACTCTAGTTGCCTTTCTTTAATCCAAACGAACCCTCGATCAAGCATTCCTGACCGGTAGACCATCACACCCTAAACCCTAAAGCCCAAACCCTAGAAACAAACAGGGAGTGGCCGGCCTGCTGTGCAGGCCACCACGATTCCTTCTGCGACAGCTACACCTGTGACCTGCGAGGACAAAGTTCAAGCCAGTGTCAAGGGATGATCTGGCCAATTTGGAAGTAACGTTTCGAGTTTCGAGCAGTTGACGTTTCCAGTTTTGCTTATCTGAACCCTAAACGCTAAACTCTAGGAATGTTGCATCAGTCTGTTGACCACATCTGAAGCCCTAAACCCCTAAACCCTAAACACCAAACCCTAAACCCCTAAACCCCTAAACCCTAAACCCTAAACCCGGAACCCCTAAACTTCCTGAACCCTTAAACCCCTCAAGCCCCAAACCTAATCCCTAAACCCTAAACCCTAAACCCTAAACCCTAAACCCTAAACCCTAAACCGCTTCTTCAGCCGGATCCTCGGGGAGATCTGGGGCTCGCATCCGGTGCTAGGTCAATGTGGGGTCCGAAGATGTAGGGGCCCCAGGGGTCCTTAAAGAGGGTTTAGGGTTTAGGGTTTAGAGTTTGGGGAGTTTGGGAGTTTGTGGTTTTGGGATGTTGGTTGTCTTTCAAGCTGCTTTTTGACACCGCTTTCTTGTCAGGGGTTTAGGGTTTAGGGTTTCTTGTTTGTGATCTCCTTTTTGACCCCGCTTTGTTGTCCGGAAGCCTTAGATAGCCCAGGGCTCAGAACCTGGATTTGTTGGTTCACATCCTGCAAAGGCTGTCCAAAACCCAACACCCTCAGCTGAGGCCAATTGATTCTCCTAATGTGATTTAAGGTCAGTGCATTCGTGCGGTGCATTCATGCGGCTATTCGTCTTGCCTCGAACCCGGATCTTGGTTCCCGGTGTGGGATTTGGGGTTTGGGTTTATGACTAAACGAGTTGGGATCAATGGTTTGTTTAGCGCTTTCTTTCAAATTCTGGATTGAAAGCAACAAGTTTTGTGCCGCATCGTCCAAAGTCTGGTAGGGCTTCAACGCAGTGATGAACTTGCCAAGCTTGGCGGAGTTGGTGGCTTTTGTGTTCTGCGAAAGGGTGTCTTGGACGGCTTCAAGCTCCTCTGTTATCAATCCACTCAGAGCAGTAGCGATGCTGAAGCCTCTGCTTTTGAGAACGAGCATGATGTAGCACGTGAGCTCATCCTCATTCTCACCCACCCAATCTTTCAAGTGCTCTTCATCCTTCATTGTCTTGGTTCTGGTATGGCTTACGGTCTGCTTTACAGATGTCAGCCTTCTTTCGGGGCCTTACTTTGAGGGTGGGACCTGCGGCGACGGGAAAATGACTTTCAAGATGTGGATGTGACCGTTGCGGCATCTATAGGTGCAACATTCACCTAACTCTCGAGTCATGGCTTCTGTCACTACACGTCTGTATTGGAAAACTGGCTGCAAACACATGCAAACCATATAAATATGTAAGTGCGGGGAGCCATATGGGTAGTTCTCTAAATTAGGGTCCCTTTTAGGGTCCTTTTTATAGGGGTGACGTACTATATTGGGGACTCAAACAGGGACCCTAATTTAGAGAACTACCCATATGTCGTGCTCAAAACCGAACTCCGTATCCACTGGGCCGCCGCACGCGACCCCGCAGTGGAGCGATCCCCGTAACCTGCCAGAAGCTCTGGAAACTTCTCTCCGCCCAACGAACCGTTTAGGGGTTAGGGTTTAGGGTTTAGGGTTTAGGGTTTAGGGTTTAGGGTTCAGGCATTAGGGTTTAGGGTTTAGGATTTTAGGGTTTAGGGTTTAGGGTTTAGGGTTTAGGGTTTAGGGTTTGGGGTTTAGGGTTTAGGGTATTAGTCCCTCTTGAACGGTTCCTTTGAGGGCGGTTCCATAAGGGTTTAGGCTCAGGGGGTTTGGTGCTGCAGAGTTTTTTCCACCCTCGCAGTCGTAGTTCCTTCCCTTCCTTTCTCTGTTTCTTTATCATTCAGAACCTAGCCCTGCAAAAGGAACTGCAAAGCAGGCTAAACGTAAGCTTCCAAATGGCGCGAAGATTTTTCGGAGTAAAGTCCTGCGGCCAAAGAACAATATGAACAAGATTCTCGTCGAGATTAGGTTGAATTAGAGCACTACCCAAATCCCTATACGCCGAACTCCCAGACCTTAAACCTACATGAACCGCCTCATGAAGCCCTATACGCACCCTAGAAACCCCACCTAAACCCTAAACCCTGCACCCTGGAAAGCCACCCATGTATAGAGCCTTTTCATGGTGGAGGCCTTCGGGTTTTTGGTTTAGGGTCTAGGGTTTAAGATTTGGGGTTTCGGTTTANNTTAGGGGTTTAGGGTTAAGGATTTTTTGGTTTGGGTTGAGGGTTCGGTGCTTGACACCTAACTAGTACCAGCCCAGTATCCATAAATCACGGAACATAGCTCCACCTATGCAGTGCCTGTTAGTAGGGTGGATGGTTTACTTGCTTGATTCAGAAACTCACGTTTTCGCTGGTTCACTGGTTCAACGTCTTGGTTTGTATCCAGGTTCGACCAACTCTAAACCATAAACCATGAACCCCTTAACCTTGCCGACCTTCTATCAAAAACCCGTTAAGCCAAGGACATATATAGGGTTAAGGCGTAGTAGTAGTAGTAGTAGTA